CTAGACTCACCAAGAAACAAAGATAGAGAACCCAAATACACAAAATCAGAAATCAAGGAGGAGAAGTAACAACTGACAGCACAGAAATACAAAAGATGGTTAACAACTACTATGAACAATTACATGGCACAAATTCGACAATCTAAGTGAAATGGACAAATTTCTAGAAACACATAGTCTCCCAAAACTGGACCAGGAAGGATAGAAAACTTGAACAGACCAATAACAACAGAAGAAATTGAAGATGTAATCAAGACTCTCCCAGCGAACAAAAGCCCAGGCCCGGATGGCTTCACGGGGGAGTTTTACCGAACATTCAAAGAAGACCTAATACCCATTCTCCTCAAACTATTTCAAAAAATTCAAGAAGAAGGAAGACTTCGAAACTCGTTTTATGAAGCCAGCATAATTCTAATTCCAAAACCAGAAAAAAACACTACAAAGAAAGAAAACTACAGGCCAATATCCCTGATGAACATAGGTGCCAAAATCCTGAACAAAATACTAGCAAATCGGATCTAGCAATACACCAAAAAAATTATTCACCATGACCAAGTAGGATTCATCTCAGGGATGCAAGGCTGGTACAATATTCACAAATCAATAAACGTGATACACCACATAAATAAAATGAAGAATAAAAACCACATGATCATATCAATAGATGCCGAAAAAGCCTTCGACAAAATCCAGCATTCATTTTTGACAAAAATGCTCAGCAATGTGGGAATAGAGGGATCATATTTGACATAATAAAGGCCATATATGAAAGACCTACAGCCAACATCATACTCAATGGGCAAAAACTAAAAGCATTTCCCTTAAGAACAGGAACAAGGCAAGGATGCCGACTTTCACCACTCTTATTTAACATAGTACTGGAAGTCTTAGCCACAGCAATCAGACAGGAAGAAAAAATAAAAGGGATCCAAATTGGAAAGAAGGGAGTGAAACTCATTATTCGCAGATAACATGATACTATACGTAGAAAACCCCAAAGACTCCAACAAAAATTTACTAGACTTAATAAATGAATTTGGAAAAGTAGCAGGATACAAAATTAACGTCAAGAAATTGATGGCATTCTTATACACCAATGATGAACTCACAGAAAGAGAAACTAAGAAAACAATCCCATTTACCCTTGCGGCAAAAAAATTAAGATACCTAGGAATAAACTTAACCAAAAAAATAAAGGACCTATTCGCAGAAAACTACAGGCCATTGAAAAAACAAATAGAGGAAGATATAAAAAAGTGGAAGCACATACCTTGCTCATGGATTGGAAGAATTAACATCATTAAAATGTCCATACTACCCAAAGCTATCTATAGATTCCATGCAATCCCCATCAAAATACCAATGGCATACTTCACAGAATTAGAACAAGTACTTCAAAAGTTCATATGGAACCAAAAACAACCTCGAATAGCCACAGCAATCTTGAAAAAGAAGAACAAAGTTAGAGGGATCACATTTCCAGATTTCAGGTTATACTTCAAAGCCACTATAATCAAAACAACCTGGTACTGGCACAAGAACAGGCATATAGACCAGTGGAACAGAACAGAGAACCCAGAAATGGATCCAAGGCAATATGCTCAATATTTGACAAAGGTGGCAAGAGCATACAGTGGAGTAAGGACAGCCTCTTTAATAAATGGTTTTGGGAAAATTGGACAGCTGCATGCAAAAAAATGAAACTAGACCATCAACTTACACCCTACACAAGAATAAACTCAAAATGGATAAAAGATTTAAATGTGACTCATGAATCTATAAAAATCCTAGAAGAAACTGTAGGCAACAAAATTTCAGACAAAATTAAATCCTACACAGCAAAATTTTCAATGATACATCACCTAAGGCAGTAGAAACAAAGGAGAAAATGAACACATGGGACTACATCAAACTCAAAAGCTTCTGCACAGCAAAAGATACAATCATCAAAACAGAAAGGCAACTCACTCTATGGGAGAGCATAATTGCCAATGATACATCAGATAAGGGGTTAATTTCCAATATATATAGAATACTCATACAACTCAACAAAAGAAAGACAAAGAACCCAATTAGAAAAATGGGCAGAGGAGCGAATAGACACCTCTCCAAACAGGACATAGAAATGGCCAAGAGACATATGAAGAAATGCTCAACATCACTAATCATCAGAGAGATGCAAATTAAAACAACAATGAGATATCACCTCACACCTGTCAGAATGGCCGCCATCAACAAATCATCAAACAACAAGTGTTGGCAAGGGTGTGGAGTAAAGGAGACTCTAGTACACTGCTGGTGGGAATGCAGACTGGTGCAGCCACTATGGAAAACACTGTGGTGTTACCTCAAAAAATTAAAAATTGAACTTCCATTTGACCCAGTGATCCCACTTCTAGGAATATACCTAAGAAGCTTGAAACACCAATCAGAAAGAATATATGTACCCCCATGTTTGTAGCAACACTATTTACAATAGCTAAGATCTGGAAACAGCCCAAGTGTCCATCAGTAGACGAATGGATAAAAAAGCTGTGGTACATATACACAATAGAGTACTATGTAGCTGTAAGAAAGAAAGATCTCTCATCCTTTGAGACTACATGGAGGGACCTGGAAAGTATTATCCTAAGTGAAACAAGCCAAGCAGAAAAGGACAAATACCACATGATCTCACATATATATGGAATATAATGAATATAACAGTCTGAGGAATAGGGTATACCCAGAAACACGGAAGTAGGGTACAGACTGACAACCCTCAGAAAAGGGGGTGGTGGGGGGTGGGAATAGATAAACCATAGAACTTATATATGCATAATCAATGGACGTGGACAACAAAACCGGGGATGGGGCGGGGGAGATGGGGAGGAGGGTGTCAATGGGGTAAAAAAGGAGAAACATCTGTAACAAAAATAAAATTAAAAATTAAATTAAAAAAATAAATAAATAAAAGGAAAAAAAAAAAAGAATAGCCATCTTAAATGTGTACATGTGTGTATGTGATTAATAGCAAAGCTACCACCCAGCCAGTGTGGTTCAGTGGTTGAGTGTTGACCCACGCACCAAAAGATCACCAGTTCAATTCCCAGTCAGGGCACATGCCCAGGTTGTGGACCAAATCCCCAGTGGAGGGCATGCAGGAGGAGGCCAATCTATGTCCTCTGTCATTGATGTTTCTGTCTCCCTCTCCCTTCCTCTCTCTCTAAAAAAATCAATAAAGAAAAAAATAATAAAGTTCTTAAATGGTAAAGATTCTTTAAAAAAAAAAATAGCAAAGCTACCAAACACAAGAAAAAAATGGACAGAACTGAAAGGAGAAATAGACAAATCTACAGTAATAATTAGAGACTAACACTCCCTCCAGAGTGACAGAATAAGGAGACATAAAAACTGTGAACATATAAAAAGTTTGAGCAAGACTATCAACCATGCTGACCTAATTAACCCATCACCAGCCGAAAACCTATTTTTTTCCTAAGGGTAATTGGAACATTCTCCAGAATAGACCATAAGCTAGACAGAAAAAAAAAAAAAAATCAATAAATGTAAAGGTATTGAAATAATACAGAGTATATTCTTTGACTATCACTAATTTAGAAATAAATAATAATGATCTAGAAAATTCCCAAATATTCAGAAATAAAATCACACATTCAAATAAATAATGTACCAAAGAAACCACAGAGATATTTTTAAATATTTAAAACTAAATGAAATAATGAAAACCCCCAAATTTGAAGGATATAGCTAAAGCATGCTTAGAGGAAAACTTATAGCTTTAAAATGCCTATATGAAAGAAAGGTATAAAATCAATTATTTATGCTTCTACCTTAAGAAGTTAGAAAATAAAAAGCAAATTAGACCCAAAGTAGAAGAAATGAAATTTAGAATTAAGGGTAGAAATTAATGAAATAGAAAACAAGCAAATAAGAGAGTCAATAAGAGATAAAATCAATAGTCAAAAGTTGGTTCATTTGAAAAATCACTAAAATGATAAGCTTTCAGCAAGAACAATCAAGCAAAAAAGAAAGAAAGATATAGATAATAAATATCAGGTGGGCAGGAAGAGAATGGTAATAGTAGAAAAAGAACTTCAGATTTATTGCAAATGTTTTATTTATTTTTTTTATTGATTTTTTTAGACAGAGAGGAAGGGAGAGAAAAAGAGACAGAAACATCAATGAGAGAGGATGTAGATTGGCCTCCTCCTGCATGCCCTCCACTGGGGATTTGGTCCACAACCTGGGCATGTGCCCTGACTGGGAATCCTACTGGTGACTTTTGGTGCATGGGTCAACACTCAACCACTGAGCCACACTGGCTGGGCGGTAGCTTTGCTATTAATCACATACACACATGTACACTTTTAAGATGGCTATCTGAACAAAAAATGGGAAAAAATGTCCTCAGGTGAGGATAAAATTAAATTAAATTAAAATTAAAAAATCTACAGTGTTATTTGCAAACAACATTGTTGAATGGCAAAATGCTACTACTAATAACAATAATGATAATAATGAGTTATATAGAAAGTGACTAACTTTTAATGGTGAATATTGGATGGAAGCAGAAGTTTGAAAAGTTTGACTTCAGAAAACAAGAAAAACTTACGGGATGAATGAAAAATTAACAAAATGCAAGAAGAGAGTAAGGATATTATTAAATAACAAAAGCCAGTTTGCATGAAGAAATCTTTACAGTTAGACATATTTAAAAGTCTTTCACACACCTCATCTGTTGTTATTAGAGAATATGTTTTTGTACTTTGAACAGGCTGATCTCTGAACACTCATCTAACTCTAAAATTATAATGATATGTCTGACAATTATAATTGTAATTAGAACACTATCTTGCACAAAACTGTTTTCATGGCTAGATGTACAATAATTTTGCACTATTAAATAAAAACAGACATTTCAAAGAATACTGGGTATGTTAGGTACAGACAACAAATATAAAATGATTAAAATTTGTCATATAACGATATATACATACCATTAGATGATCATTTGGCCAACAAATATATGATTAAGTCCTACAACAGGATGAGGCACCTGTCGCTACTCCATAAATATTCATGTGAAGATGATTAAAGTGATATCACGTTACAGTACATTGCCTGAGTCAGAACCAAATACATCAATACATAAATATTTAGAGAAAACCAAAAACCATGGATAAACATTTTCTTCCCAATAAGCTATTTTACAGTGACCTATAGTTTATAATAGCTTTTTTGCTCGGTGCATCAAGATCATCTCTTACATGAAAAATAACCCTACGCCCTCCACTGGCAAACCCACAGCATTCCGGGTTGGTTGCCAGGATGGATTTTTTTCCCCCTCCATCTTTCTCAGAGCATCAGGTTTCTGACCAATGACATCATTTGGGCATCTGACCAGATGATCTGTGTTTCCATAAGCCGGATGGATCCGTGCGTGTGGCTGGGTTCAAGGCTTCCGGCCGCAAGATCTGTGCTACGAACGCCCGTGGGAGCTCGTGCATTCCGCTGTTCGCCTTAAACCGCACATTCACTTATGTTCTGTTTTTACCCATTGCTTGCCACTTAGTTTCTAAAGGAGACATTCCCATTTCAAAATAATGACATAAAAATATGCACAGCAGGAGGAGGTCAGCAGGAAAGCACCTAAAGGCTGTGAGCTTTTGCCTTTAATGGAAGGATCTCCACCTTTCAGGGAAATAACCCAAACCAGCCTCAGGCCGCGGCGCACGCGCGCTACCGGGGTGAGCCTGGGCGACGCTCCGTTGGTCCCGAGAAGACCCAGCCGCACCAAAACCCACTCCTGGCGGGTTCTGCTCCGAGGAGCTCAGACCAGGAGGGAGGGCCGCAGGGGCCGGGGACCCCTAGGGAACCGCAGAGGCCAGCGAGACCTCGAGAGACCGCATGCGTGGGTGGCGGGCGCCTCCCGCGGCGTCTCCACGTTGGGGCGTCGCCATGGAAACCAAGGGTTTGGCGGCCGGGCCCTGTGAGCCTGGGAGGGCGCGGCCGGACCGCCACGGGGCGAAGCGGGGCCGAGGGACGGCCGCAGACGCTCACCGTGACGCGCTGGTCCTCTGTCGCCTCGGGCCGCGCGGGGCCGCGCGGAGGTCCGTCCCGGCACCCGTTCCCGCCGCCGCCGCTCGCGAGCCCGCCACGCCGCCCGGCGCTCCCGCAGTCCGTGCCCTCCTTACCGGTGCGTCGAGGTGTCGGGCTCCGGCTGCGGGAGGCGGGAGGTTTAAACTCGGCGCCCGCGCCCCGGATCCGCGTTCACTCCCCTCTCGCCTGTCCCGACGGGGCCCCGGCTCTCAGTCGGTCCTGAAGAAACGCAGGACCCTCTCTTCCTCCTTTCCCTAACTCCTCTACCGAACAAAGTGAGGTGACAAACCAGAGACCGGTCAGAGCAGCGGCGCAAGGAACCGAGCGTGGTGCCTATGAGGTGGGTCAGTGGACGGGGCTCTCGGCTTCCTCTGGGCCCTCAGCCCGGGTCGGCCAGCCGTCTCCCCGCCCCTCCGAGCCCCCGCTGCACCTGCCTGGCGCGCCGGTGCCGCCAGCGAGGCTATGAGTTGAGCTTGGGTCATTCCCGAGACCTAGGGAGCGCACGCGGAAATGTTCACGTGCTGTAGTTAACTCTTACTTAAAGGTTGAAAGGAGATTAAGTTAACAGCTGTTAGTTACTGACTTCGAATGCAAATAATTTGTTGTCAGATATGTCTTGGCCCTGGCCGGTTTTGCTCAGTGGTTAGAGCGTCGGCCTGCGGTCCAGAGAGACCCAGGTTCGGTTCCGTTAAGGGCATGTACCTCGGTTGCAGTTTGTCCCCGGCCCTGTTTGGGTCGTGCAGGAGGCAGCCACTCGATGTGTCCCTTTCATGTCGATGTTTCTCTCTCTGTCTCTCTCTTCCTCTCTCCCTCCCACTCTGTTTGGGGGGGGGGGGAATGTCCTCGGGTGAGGATAAAAAAAAAAAAAGTCTTCAAAAGCAAAAGGTAAAATTTGAGCCTAAAAACCTTAGGGGGGAAAAATGGAAATAAGACAAAAGAAGAATTACGTTATTGGTTGAAAATAATTTAAATTCAAAGTACCTTGTTTTTAAGGTTCCCCCCAAAATATTAACTGTCCTAAAACTTCACGAAAATATGAATTTATTACAACTACAACATATAACTTAGCAAAGGGGAAAAGCTTACACTTGAAGTGATAACTAAAATCTGTAAGATCATGAAAGACATAAGATGGGGTGATATTCTAGAATACTACTACAAAGTACTTACCTTAAAACCTGAAAAAAAAAAATTAGCTTTGGAATAGGAAAAAAAGTAGGCTATTTATACTACAGAATTAATTTGAACTGAAAAAATATTTAAAAAAAATTTTTTTTCCTTTATTGATTTTAGAGGAGAGAGAGAAAGTGAGAAGGGAGGGAGAGAAACATCGATAAGTGAACATCAATTGGCTGACTCCTGCATGCCCCGCACTGGGGATTTAGCCCACAACCTGGGCATGTATCCTGACCGGGAATTGAACCGGTGACCTCTTGGTGCATGGGTCCACGCTCAAACACTGAGCCACACCAGCCAGGCATGAAAATATTAAGATGTCTTTAGATTAGGAATTCTTACCCTGAGATATATGGCATTTCAGGGAATGGGTGAATACCTGAAGTAATGTCCAAAACTTTGGGTTTTGGGTTTTTTTTTTATCCTCACCCAAGGACACCCTTCCATTTTTTGGTCAGATAGAGTGGGAGAGAGAGAGAAAAAAAAACATCCACATGAAAGGGACACATCGAGCCCTGGCCGGTTTGGCTCAGCGGTTAGAGTGTCGGTCCTGAGAGACCTGGGTTCGGTTCCCGCTAAGGGCACGTACCTCGGTTGCAGTTTGTCCCCGGCCCTGGTCGGTTGTGCGGGTGGCAGCCACTCGATGTGTCCCTTTCACATCGATGTTTCTCTCTCTCTCTGTTCTTCTCTCTCCCTCCCACTCTACCTGAAAAATGTCCTCGGGTGAGGATAAAAAAAAAAAAAGAAAAGAAAGGGACACATCAAGTGGCTGCTTCCCACACGACCCAACCAGGACTGGGGACAAACTGCAACTGAGATATGTGCCCTTACGGGAACCGAACCCGGGTCTCTCTGGTCGGCGGGCCAATGCTCTAACTGCTGAGCCAAACCAGCCAGGGCAACTTTATTTGTTTTTCAAAGAATCCACAGCTTTCCTCAGATTCTCCTTAAAAGGGTACAAATTTGCATTTGGCAAATAGGATGATTGTTGTCCTTCCTTGGAGCTTTTCTGACTCATTTCTGGTAAATCTGGTGTTTTCTCCTAAGGGCGTACTGCTACTTTCATTCAACAGCTGTCCTGAATTGTAATTATTAACCTGCCTGTGTTCCCCATTGGAGGCTGAGCTCCTCCAAAGTAATAATTGTATGCACATCTGTAACCTTATCTAACACAGTACCTAATACATACTAGGTTCTGAATGAATGTTTATTAAAATGAACAGAAACAAAGCTAGCAATTGACAACTGAAAGATACAGTATAAAATATCTAAAAAAGAAATGAAAACCTTTCTCTCCAAAGAATTAATGGTAAGCAAATGACTTTGAAAATATTACCATGCACCATAGCAAGTTTCTTAGACTATTTTAGAAAATGCTTGTTCCAACAGGATAGTTTGTTTGTTTATGTTAATCCTCACCTAAGGATATTTTTTATTGATTTTTTTAGGGAGGGAGGAAGAGAGAGAAACATCGATGTGAGAGAGACACATCCGATTGGTTGCCTCTTGGGCCTGGAATGGAACCTGCAACTCAGGTATGTGCCCTTGACCAAATCGAACCCATGACCCTTTGACCAACATGTCAACGCTCTAACCGCTGAGCCAAACTGGCCAGAGCTGAAGTTTAACTCAAGAGAATATGAAAAGAATAGCTTCTTCACCTCAATCTGAAGCAGAGAAAGGCCCTTGAAGGAACACCAGAAAGTCAGAGTAGTGACTCTGGGCCAGGTCTGTTGGTTTTGTTCACTTAATTGGGAAAATTACCAAAAGATAGAGTATTTCTAAGTCCCCATAAAATGTAGCATGTATGCACAATCCCTTTTTCTTCATAGGTCACTAAGAAAAGTGTGCAAGAATGGTTTCAGCAAATAAGGTAGAGCTACTGACACTCCTCTTGGACAGAAATCAGGTCTTCATACTTACAGTATTTAATAAATATTGGTGGAGTGAATGAATAATCTACCTTTAGCTGTTGGATGGATAAGGAAATATTTAAATGGCTTGTACTAGTTCCTTAACATATGAAACAGCAACAATAGTTATAATTTGTGTTTCATAAAAAGCCTGTTTTAGTCCTGGCTGGTGTGGCTCACAGTTGGTTGGAGCTTGGTCTCCTACACCAAAACGTGCAGGTTTCAGGTTCAATCCCTGATGGAGGTGTGTGCAGGAGGCAGCCTATCGATGTTTCTCTCTCACATTCATGTTTCTCTCTCTTCCTTCTTCCCTCCCTCCCTTCCTCTCTGTAAAATCAATAAGAAATTGTAAAAAAAAAAAAAATTATTTAAACCTGTTTTAGAAAACACAAATATTTAACCATTTAAATACTTTTATATGGATTTAATTTCATTTAGTAGTACAAACATTTATAGAGCTATTATTTAATTTTCTAGCAACATATTAACAGATTTATCCTATAAAGTGTTTTTCCTCCATTGTAGCCTTTTACATGCTAACTAGAAAATAAGACCATTGGGTGGCTTGAAATATGGAGCTCTGCAAATCTGAGATCCCAACCTGGAGTGCTAATGTCCTGAGAGAGTAATGATCTCTACTTTTATTTTTGAAATATCAAGCAAACCTCTGGTTAATCTCCCAAATAAAACCTCAATTGAGCCCTGGCCGGTTTGGCTCAGCAGTTAGAGCGTCGGCCTGCGGTCCAGAGAGACCCAGCTTCTGTTCCCGCTAAGGGCACGTACCTCGGTTGCAGTTTGTCCCCTGCCCTGGTTGGTTGTGCGGGTGGCAGCCACTCGATGTGTCCCTTTTGCATCGATTTTCTCTCTCTCTCTCTCTCTCTCTCCCCCTCCCTCCCTCCCTCCCTCCCTCCCACTC